TTGTAAATCGTATGACACACTTGCTCGTGTAATAATCTCTATGTATGATCATTCTAAATTTGCTTCCAATTACCAGTGACGTCATCGTTACGATGACGTCACAACCAAGAGTAGACACAAAGGTAATCTGTCTCTTTTTAAAAGGACCTGATTATTAGTGTTTTGTTTGATTACAGGATTGCCCTAGTAAATAACACCAAATTAACGATGACGTCACTTGGAGGCAGGTTACCAGAGTATCGCTTCACGGGACAACCAGACTATAATCAGATATTATGTGTGTTTAACTTGTGATATAACTTGGTGGAATCAGGTTCATCCGAATCGTCCAGGGTTTCCAAATCGGTCACGAACCTGTCGTTGTTTTCATTTAAGATAAGGGAGATAACTCCAAAGACGTTTTTTTTCACCAAGTTGCATTTTTTCCCTGTAAATCCCAAACTAATACTTCAAATCAACGACACTATTTTCCCTCAGACACTTACACTCGACATCAATTTACTTAAACACGCATTCAGCTTGAACAGTAACGTCGATAGAATATTTTAGAAACGCTTCAGACAATATTTCTTGTTCCTTTTTTTTTCAATTTAATTGTCAAATATGCATTATTATAATTAACAAACACATATATTTTACATCACAAATATTCTTACATTTATAATTATTTGATCAAGTAAGTAAAATGAATAGATTTCTATTTTTATTTTTAAACATGCTATTTAACATTATATGCAAAGTATATCAACTTAATTGTAGTCAGTTTGAAGAATGTTTGGTTGGTAGATACCAGTTTTAAGAGGTTAGATGGATAACGGACGACATGCCAATATGTAGTATTAACCCTATTTAGGGTTTTACAGATTTGTGGTACCCCTATCGAGGGGTAAATTGAATAGAAATAGCAATGATATCCCGGGAATTGAGAAACGGGGGTTTAAATACAGTCAGGAAAAAGGGCGGCGCGTGTGTCAAAAGGAGAGACATACGCGACACTGTATGTATCACAATCACTCTTTCAACAAAAGAAAATAAAGATTTTTGTAAACAGTAATAACTAAAACGCTTAAGTGTACAAATTATGGCTAGCCAGAGTGATAAGGTAAGGTTAAGTGAAAACTTTTAATGTTAAAGAATGTCTGTTCTTCTATAAGGCTCTTCACCGACAGCAAACACCATTTGAACTGAAAAATCCTGTATATCTATAACATGTAACATAGTGTCTATATTCCATTGTCTTCCAGGTTGTTGGGACATAAATACATTGGAGCACGTAACAAAACGTGGTGCGACTCAAGGGTGGTAACTCTGTAACTCCTAACCCACCAGACTACTAGTCAATAGGGGCTCGCATGCATCTTCTTCCATTGTGAATACTAATATCGTCACTGTGTTTGAATGTATGTTACACGTGAGCTATCAAGAGATTTGCCACTTTAAACATCCGCGTGCCATTTGAGTCAACAAAAGATGTTTTAGCTCAAAAGGCCATCATCTGAAGCAGGACGATATTTCCATCTTGAGATCTTGTTGACGTCCTAAAGCGACGTCTGACAACATGAGACATGGGGTAGTGTTTGCTTTATGTCACCACAACCAGGACATAGATTTTCGAAGCTCTCTTAGCGTTAAGTGAGTGAATGAATATGGTTTTACGCCGCTTTTAGCAATATTCCAGCAATATTCCAGACACCAGAAATAGGCTTCACACATTGTATCTTAGCGTTAAGACAGTCGTAAGTTCCATACATTAACATTAACTTACGACTATCTTAGCACTTAGAGAGCTTCGAAAATCTAGGCGTAGCTCTCAGACAGCTGTCTCTAAATATAACTGAGTTTGGGTCCCACAATTCCAGTCACTGATATTATGAGATGAGGTGAGGTGATATTGGGTTTAACGTCGTGCTTGAGAATATTTTGCTCATATGACATGCATTCGTGTGTATGTGTATGTGCGGCTGCTTGTACTAGCCCAGACTTAAGCTGGTTTTATAGTGCTAGCCCACTGAGATACCATGCCGCAGTGAAGCATGAATACCCCACTCAGACACATTATACTGACTCCGAGCCGACCAGTCCTTGTTGTACCCATTAATGCCGAGCGCCAGGCAGGGACCAACAAGCACCATCTTTTAACGTCTTTTGGTATGACGAGGTCGGGGATCGAACCCGCGACCTTCCGCTCTCCGGGCGGACGCTCTAACCACTACACCACGGAGGCGGTCACTGATAGTATGAACAACGCAACCCACCTGAAAAGTGTGTCAGTAAGACATGTCCCAGATATTCCGGTATATATAATCTACTCAGTCAGTTCAAGATATTCAGACCAAGACCCGGGGCGTAGAAAATGCATACCAATGTTAAATGGTGAAATGGTGGCTAAAACGAAAAAAGACTTTACTTTACATGAATGTATGAGTTATTATTTATCTAAGAAAACACTCGTCTATGCAGCACACTCATGGATTATACAACTGTATGGCCCTGGCATTAAGGACAACATGTGGAAACTTCTCTATCAAAGTTACAGCAACAGTTGCGTATATGTTACCTTATCGTGAAACATGTAGATTACCTGTATAACAGGGTGTCAGGCAAGGACGGGTGTTGTCTTCTTGGCTCTTCCTTGTTCATAACGATAATCTGATACTGATCTGAGAACCGTGGTCTTATTGTATATGGATTCAAGTTATGTTCGCTGTTGACGCTGCAGTCACGCCGACAAGGTGCTTCTAACACAGTTACACTGTATGCATACGATACATGTACAAGGCCACTAAAAGCCACACTCGGTGCCAGCGTACTTGGGAAAGTATCATTATATTATGTAAATGTCATAAATTTGAAAAATGAATTGGATTACCTCTCCTTACATCTGTTGTATCGCAATAGCCTTCATTTGTGTACATGGCTTAAATGGAATATATACTTGTATAGCTTGTGTATGTACCTTTATGTTAATACTAGCACCATGTTTTTTCTGTGAATAACATCAGAGATACTGTAAATCTTCGGATACAAATTCTGGAGGAAATAACTTTTTTTTTTCACTCATGCAGGAATCACTGCGTTTCAATCCTCTTGAGTTGGAGTTTGGATGTGCAGTTTGAGAACCATATACGTTCAAATGGAGGTGGCTTGGCGAGTACATGGAAATTAGTCTGCCAGATTACGTTATAAACTTTAAAGAAGTAGGCTAAAGTTTATTAAGGCTTTTAATATTGCAAAACAAAACTTGCAGGTTAGCAATGAGAAGATGAAAACCTGGTACGATGAAGAGTTGAACAGAGGGAGTTTGCAGTAGGTGGCAGTCTCATTTTTCAACCAATACCTAGAAACTATTGTCCTTGCATTGTACACATGAAGATACAGATTGTGTGATAGACTCAAGATTGGAGAAAGATCAAAAGAGGTTCATGCCACCATGATGAAAGCTTACTATGATGAGTGTGCCACAAACGGTGAGTACTTGGATGGGTGACCCTGTTTGGCAGCTTGACTAGGGGGTTTCTAGGACTCCTGTCCTGCCCTACAACGAAGCACACGTGGTCTCACCGTAGGCAAGTGAGTTTGTTCCGAAGTTGCCTGTGTTCACCCAGCAGAATCTGGGTACCCTGTAGGATGTCATATGACTCTTATCCTTCAAGCACCTCACAAGCAGCTCAGGTTATCCGGGGTAATAACGTCCATCATGTTGTATGCGCGTAGAGCATGTCCCTGCGGTGTGGAGTTCAGCGCTAAATACGTGGCCATATTATATCTATTATTACCATCTTGGACTGATTGTATGGATGTAGCCGACGCAACTCATGTCAAGCAACATGTTTATTTTGTGAACCGTATCAAATTAGTTCAGTGAAGAAGATTCAATACATATTGGGCAATATCATTGAACCCGGCGGTAGTGCTTGGAGTACCCCACGTGTACGCATGCCCAAGACTGGCGGAGGTACTTGACTATATAGTAATTACAGACAAGTCAATGCCCTTTCCAAATCAGACTCTTACTCAAGAGCCGAGTGTAATTCTAGGTATGTGAGAAAATGCTACGTATGCAAGCAAGTTTGTGAAGCTTGTGAAACCTGTACAGGTCAAAGTAGAAGCTGTGAAAATGTTTCCAGAACCTATACACGGAAAGGAACTGATGAGATTCTTTGGAAGTCTTGAAATTACTCGTTCTGTCAGACCTTTCACAGGTAGGAGCACAATGGACCGACCTGATGAAGAAACACTTAAAATTTATCTTTGAAGTCTCGCCAACAGGCCGTGTGACTGACGCACCTGCGTTGGTAGCCAGCCCTTGAAGCTCGGTAATACTAGCTCTCCAGCAGCATTCTGAAGTGTAACACCTCATATTCACGGATCACAATCCATATACGATCCTTTCAAACTGAGCTCCTGAATCACTGGACAATCACTGAACTGTCAGGCCCAGACTTGATTACACACAGACCAGCCATAGAACTGGACACAGCATGAAACACATATGTTAAGGAAATGACTTCATCTCCATCCCAGGTAACTTTTATACCCAAGAAAGTAAATTGATTGGCGCTCTATTGTAAATCAATCGAATTTCCTCAGTGGACCACTGATAACAGTGTGTAAAAGAGTTTTGAATAGTGGCCTGTCCCAAAAAATGATCAGTCCTGAACAAATACAGCCAATCCCAAAAACTAAAACGCTTCATTCAAACCAAGTTAAGTTTATTTTTTCAAATATTTCCCCCGACCGAAGGACAGGCTTACTTATTTAAAGAGTTCGTTCTTCAGAAAGATTGACCGTCAAGGACGGGCTATATTTTATACACTGCTAATAATGAATTGGTACTGATTATTTCCCTCCATGAAAAGATCATGCACACCTGCTATCGAACACAGAACAATTCTTGGGGATGTCCTCTTGCAGTGTCCAGTTGGTCAGTTTTCGCATCCAGTTCCACATCGTGTATAATATCTTGACCAGTAATCTGACAAATCATAACAGACATGAAATGTGACAAAGAAATCTTTATTTCTTTGAAATGTATACTTTACTTTGACATACCTCATAAATTGTACAGACAAAGCTACACTTGTCATAATCACTGTCAGTTACACACAGAAAGCATATAGTTGTGTTCAAGCCTGGATAGCTCCATGTGTGGCTCATCACCAACAGGCATCAGGGCGTGACTGACCTCCACAAGGAGTGCATGGACCTGTTAAAAGACGACACCTCCCTGACCGAAATTCAACTGCTGTGTATGTATGTCTGGTTTAAAGATGAGCAGCTCCTACCATTCAACCTGTAAATGTGTCTGGTGACTACTAATAGTGTATTTCATGATATCTGTACCAAAAGATAAAGCAGGATGGGCCAGCGGGGATTTTCGTTTATTTATTTAAAACACATGTACTGATTCAGCACAAGAATCAGTTGACATAATTAAGACTTATAACTAAAATATTTCTGCTTCTTCATCTTGAAGGATGAACAGGTAGGTGGCAATTCAATGGACACACACACTCACACACATAATGTTGTCGTAGGGATCTGAATCTCAGTCATCAACATGACGAGTAAACCCATCGCCACTTGATCAACCACCCTTCTTTGTTTACTCTAAAAAACCCAGTATGTCCTTTTCCAGCATCATCCAAGCATTAACCCCTTAAATGTCATGACTGATGGTAGTCTCTAAAAGTGATGATCGGTGGAGCTTGTTCACAGCATACAATTTGTCACAAAATATCTCATCGATAAAAGTGATGCTGTTCCAGGGATAGGACTGTATATGACATCAGTGTGATGGACAGCAACAGAGCAAGATCATGAAAGAAGTAACAGATGCTGATGAGCAAAACCTGGTATACTAAAGCGTAAAGAAGACGGTGCACACTACTATAATCTCAACTCCTTGAAGTTGGGGAAACTCAAGCTTTTGGAACAAAGGATGTCGGACATGGTGACACTTGTTCTGACTGCAGTGTGACTGCTGTACATGTGATCTGGACAAAGGTGGCTATACGAATTGTGAGTCTGTAGCATGATACCCACAACCACAATATAAAACACAGGTACATTACGGACTACACTTATCAAGCATAATGATTGTACACTGCAGGAGCCCTAGCTGGGAACGGGACCAGATCATGGTTGTAAGATGCTAGGGAAACACAGGATTATGGGCAACTGCATGGGCAAAGCTTCCGACACTATGATACAACAAAATACCTGCTACCATCTACAGCTCTACAGGATCCCCTACAAACTGATCACGTATTTGTCCCAGTCTCCCATTGCTGTTCAACTGACAAACATGGAGTCAGTTTATAAAAGTCTTGCAGAAATAAAACCTTTGTTGTCAACCAAAATAAAAAGATTACAAAGTATGGGTTACCATCAGAGGAGTCAGCGATGTATAAAACAATGATAAGAATACTGTACAGAGAGGCCATAATCATATAGTTCAACTTTTCCATCTTGCATCAGAGATTTATATGCCTCCATTTCAAGGGAGGTAAATCTTGTCAGCAAGACCAGTCTATGAAGGCAGCCTTGATAGGATAGCTTTGGTTGTATCGATACAGGTTTGGCAATACGTATTGCAACACCAGGGATGGGATACGATGCACGCACAAAAATACCCAAACTGATCTGGAATCTGTTCAGCAGACTTTGGAACATTTCTGTATGAACTGTATCATGACCAAGCCTTGGTGTTACTGTACGGCAACATGTGCTGGGAAAACGCTGTATCGAAACATCCCGTGGACAACTATTTACAATGGTGAGAAGGGCTTTAACAAGACGAGAGCAGATTATATCAACACTGCAGGACTAAACCACTCGTTGTAGTAATCACAGACTCGGACAAACAACACCAGAAAAATACCTGCTTGAAGGGGTTACCTCCCTTTCCATGCAAGCTGAACAAGAATTGGAACTCATTTTCTGAGGTCGTTTGTCGTAAGAATTTTGCTCTCAATATGACAGCGACTGGTCCACCTAAATGTCAAAGCTATGACAAGTTTAGTAAGGAATAAAATAGAACATATATATACTTAATGACACTGTTAGAAGCAACCATCCTGCTGTTATGACATAAACGATTAAAACAAGGCTATAATTCCAATACCCTTTAGACTGCTGAGAACTCTAATAAGTCAAGATGTCAATCGGAACTCCAGTATGTTATTGATTATGTTTCAAGTACAATATTTAGAATGGAATCACCAGATCAGAAACAAAAGTTCTTCTCGAAATGTTCAGGAACTTCTCAGCAGTCTTCAGGTTGTCTAGATTCCCCTGTTTTGTTACATCACAACCACCATCAATCTTAACATCAATATACAAGTTATCTGTCTAATAACAATATCTATACAACAGGGAATCTCTGCAGTCGACCTTGACCCTGAGTTAACCTTGACCTGGAAGATCAAGGTCATATCGTCATCTTTAGGTTCATGAAACCAATCTGTAATTTTCCATTCCATATTTCACAAAGACGAACTGGTTATTAAAAATATTTATTTCTTGACATTATATTTAATTGAAGGGAACTGTAATCCCTTCGTTTCAAAATGGCCGTCTGGGATGAAGGAACTGAAGACAACAATGAAGTAATTCCAATCCTGTGATTAACTCTTGTGAGTATTGCTCCTCTTTCAGACCGACCTGGCCTTGATGAGGGATACATCAACACACCACCCATTCAGTATCAAATGTAGATGGTGGAGAGCCAGCGATATGCTTGCATTTATTACAACAAGATATATATTGAAATGACAAATCTGTTTAACATTAAGTGAAAATCATCTTTGGTTAAGAAAAACAAAACAACTAAAGTGTTCCAATACAACAATTTCCAATGAATAAGGAAACAATATTTTCTCCTTAGTTTTGACAATAATACTAAAAATTCTGGTGCAAATATCTAATAATCAAGAAAATCAGAACATGAAAAATACATAATTTCTGTTTTAATGACAGCTATCACATGAAGTCAAAGAGCCAATTGAAATGTGTAGGGAGAACATTCCCTTGTGCTGTTAAAAGAGAAAGGGTTAACAGACCATCACACAGACAGGACATGGCAAGATTTGTCACAGTTACTCCCATCAGTAGATATTAACTCTTCCACTGACAAATACATACTGAGAAATGGAAAAACTGTCTGTGCATGATCTGATGAAAATCAAACCAAACTGTGATTCTTTATATTGTAAGATACCAATTTACAGACAGCTTACACTACCCTTAAAGGTGCAAAAGTTCACATAAAAACACAAATAAATTTCCCCAAATCTTACACAATCGTGTGCAGATGACTGTTCACATGTGACACAGATCCCTTGCACCATGAATACTGGTTGATTCATCATTGTGTTCCTATTTGTCTCCGTGTGAGTGAGTGAAGGGTGGTTCATGCCTTGATGCTGTTGTGGGCGCGGCCGCTGCTGCCACCCCCATATTCCAGCTGCTGTACGCCGTTCACCATGCGGGACTTGAGGACCCCATCCTCCTCTACCAGCACAGTCTCCTGTCCATTCTCAACAACTCTGAAATAGCGAATCCATAAATAATGTTATTTGTTATTTCAGGCCAGTCAGCAATTAATACAGGCTTTTACCTTGACGAACAAAATTAGGGGTCCACAGGACACCCACTTACTACTTTTGAGGGTCCTAACGTGAAATACAAGGGTCATGTAAGGAAAGAAATGACCTAGCAGTCTGCACTCTAAGGTTTAATGATTAAACATCATATCAACTTTATATTTCTAGTCACAAATTTTGAACAATGAATATATTGTACGTCCCAGGGAATGCAATAAAACATACATATATTTCTGCGTCCATTCTTTACATTTGTGCGTATTGGACGCACATTTCTGTGTGGTGTAAAACCCTGTAACAGCTGTATGATGTTGACTGTAATAATCTGGTCTGGGTGAACCAAAACTGAAGCATGCACACTAATCAGTGTTTATGCCAGGGACAAACAGTAAATAGTCATCCTGGCCTTCAAAACCAGTTGATTAGAACTTTTCTTGCATATGACCACAAACATCGAGTTCTGGAAACCGTTTCTGACCTGGAATCCCCATGTGGAAAGAAGCATGGGGTGTTGTAGACCTGTTGTGCCCTGTGACCTGGGAACCTATTTTTCTGGTGAATTGATTGAATTAAAATCTGAGAAAGTGAAGATGGGACACTGTCGGGCAGAAACATATACACTAGAGAGAATGCTATGATATTTATAGCCGACTGGGAAGTACTGGCAAACGACAGGCAAGGTACCATTCTTGAATGTATTTATGACCTGGTGAGGGGATTGAAACACCAACATTCAGCACTCCAGACAGATACACTAGACAGAGACTACATATATTATCTAAGTTTCTAATCAAACTATCTGAAAGCGAATGACAACAGCACTTACTTCTTCGTGACAATTTTCTTGCCGTTGATATATTTGGTAGAGGTGGAAGTAGAGCGAAAGTGTCCGGCTCCTGTGGTGGGGCCGCTAAAACTGGTACTAGAGAACTGAGAGAACCTGCAATACAAACACTTATATATCACACAATGTCATAGCAGCAATACATCACACAGTGTTATAACATGTATACCACACTGTTATAATCCAATTGATGCAAGTGGACCAGTGTTTATAACATGTATACAAGTGTTATATCATCATATCACATATAGGTGTTATAACATGTTTAACACATATACATCACATGTCCAAATATTCTCCAACCATATAAAGTGTACATTCTATGACAGTTGTAAATCTATGTGTAAAAGCAAAGATGGGTCAATAGCATTTTTTAAGGTGAAGCATAAAGGGCTGTTACTGTCACAAGTCTATGCTAAACATAACAGTCCTCAGCTGACATTTAAGTAGGGATCTGAATATCTTGAGTCCATGCAAAGATAAAAGCTATGACAGCTTTTACTCAATACTGAAAAGGCTGCCGTTAAATGTTAATATCTAGAGTCTGTACCAAAAACTTGAGAGTTTGATATTTTTTAGGGTTAAATACTTTGACATTAACTAACTCAACTTACTTGACCATATGAAATTTTACAAGACTGGGACTTTGGCTAGTTGCAGACCGTACCAGATGTATATAACTGCTTTAATGTTTGAGTGTATCTATGTAAGTCTGTTCTAAACTAATCTGTAGTTGTGACAACTGTAAGGCACTATTACACAAGTCAATATGGCAAACTATGCAAAAGAATTGGTGTTAAGACGGTCAAAGTCTTTATAAGAAATAAAAAGCATAAACTATCTGCCCTTAAACGCGCCCACTGATAATTTAAAAAAATCTGTAAGTAATCTTCGCAAGTTACGATGCTGTGTTAAGCTTGTAAAATACCTGTGTATGTTACAGGTATTTCTCCCAGATTTAGAGCAGTGTAGAAATAGGATGAACAACTGCCTTGTAACTTTTAATCAACATTTACACAAGGTCAGTTCCCTACAGCTCAAGAGCTGACAAGTATAAATCTTATACTGTTGTCTTCAGTGTCCATATGTATGCATTTTCTATGCACCCCAGGTGCTTGTTAAAGTGAATAGGGCATATACAACTGTCATAGGTCTGTACTGAAAAACAGTAGTAATCGCAGTAGTAAGCCACATATTAATCTCACTATTTTAACTGTACATATTGAATTATTGGGCTTCAATATTGAAAAACTAAAGGGTGACAGTGATCAGAGCTAGTTTGCATGGATTTCAACACCAGTATTATTCAAATAAAAAATAAGGAGGTGACACAGAACAGTTCCTTGTATAACAACACTCTGTAGCTATAAAGATCCACACAATGTCCTTTTGGATTTAATTAACTGCTTAACAGATGACACCAAGGTCGACAACAGTATGAAGCTGTACCCCTAGGGATTGGTCAAACTGTACAGGAGCTGTGCTATGGTCTCTAACTACAAACAAACCAGGCAACAGAATGATTTGAAAACAAACAAAACAATAAATATAACAGAATATATCTACACAAACACAAAAGAAATCAAAGAATCATGTTAGTGAACAAAACAAAATCAACTCAATCAAATGAAACAAAATATTATCAAAGATGCTTTCTAACACAACCAGGAACTATCAGGTGCACTAACATCTTCTTCATGAAAGGTGTATTAGTACAGGCAATGATGTCATCATCAAAGGGAGATAACTGGTAATTTTAAGAAGTGTTGCACTCTAACAGAACTCATCTGTCAACATCACCTTGTAACTAAAGGATTTCACAAGCTGAGAATGATGGGGCACATTGCAAGTGTTCAACATTTACCTGTCACTTTGACAGTTAGGTACAGCAATTGTGTACCGAACAAGAACACCTGGATCAGGCCTCACAAGGAAACAATCTATGACGTCACCAAAACACTGAATGTGGATAACACAACTGACAAGTTCATTTCTATTGACACTTCTTGGATATTTCCTTGGTAGGCCTGGGGAAGGGTCAGGCTCAAGCAGAGGATCTGAGGCAATGGCTACTGATCTGGGATTTTCCTTGTTTAGGCCAGACCAATTTTAATTCTTGTTTTATGGATCCGCTGGTCGTATTTTTTCAAGAATAAGAAAAAAATTAAAAAAATAAAACTTTTTTAGCCGCTCGAAAAATAAAATCCTAATGTTAAGGTATACGGGAGCGAGACTTCAACTACGCAAGTCAGTTTGTTGAACACCAAAACACTGAATTATCTAACAATAGTTGTGTTAGAAATGAGTGCTCCAAGCACCTCAGCGAGTGTAAACTTGAAAAACAATGCCTTTGAAAAACTCATGTGGGTTTTTCCTTCGACTGGTGACACTCGTTTTCCCGAGGACAAAAAGCCGTAAAACAAGAAATAAAATTGGTCTGGCCTTAACAACAAAAACAGCCTATTCTCGAAAATGCTGGGTGATGTCCCTATACTATATCATGCTCTCAATTCCTCTAGGATCACTTGATCAGACCACACATAAACCTAGAACAATATCTCTGTGTGTTTCATATTGGAGTAAAACATTTTGTCATAATAATTGTGACCCTGCTCAACAAACTGATAAAGTACAAATCCCTTGTGCATTTACTGGTTTGACAGCAGTTAAAATTAATGTATGGGCAATACAGCAAAGACGACCAGGGTCATGGAGTTACCTCCCTTTTGGGGGATTTCACTGTTTGCCATTTTGACTCGGGCCAATTTCTTGTACAATTTCACAAGTCACAATATTCCAATTAAATGATGGAAGGATGTTAGTGAATAGCTGACTATAGAGGCTCTACATGAAGCGAAAAGCAGAACATTTTACTCTACGTCTAAGACTGCCGGAACATTTATGGCAACCCTTCATCAACCCATAACAGAGCTGTAACAATACACTAATAATTTTACATAGAAACACTGTGAGGTCAAACCTAAAAACATTTCAGGTGAAATTTACAGTTACTGCTTGAATAAGAACCAAAACCAAACTCTACCATCGTCAGTAGATTGTATTATAAATGTCGAAGATAGCCATTTGAAAGTTGGTTCAAAAGGGACACAGTTTAGCCCTTTGCTAATTATCTTGCAAATGCTTAATGAGTGCAACTAGGCGGCTTCTAATGGATGATGGGATGCAAGATAGCTGATACAAGGTGCTTCTCAAATATGCAATGTGATAAATAACATGGACTTCACAGGTACTGAGCATCTAAGATGAAGAAATACGGTACCAAATGGCACATACTTCCACACAAAGACATCATGGGTCATGAACTTGACGATTCTGATTCCACCAGAACAACAGACATTTGGTTCAAGAGAAATAAACAAGTAAACATTTCCATACGTAAACCTGATTTACCCCGTAACTGTCAAGCAACTACAAATACTTTTCAGCAACATCTACCTAAGCTGTAAAGTTAGAATAATTCTAATTCAACAACCAGTGTTTTCACAGGAATACCCAGTTGATATTTTAGCAACTGGTATGTAACGCATTAAGATATAATTATTAGATTGTCATCCTCATCTACACCCACTACCAAGGTTCCCACATCATATCATATTGCATCCCTCCTGAAGAACCTACAGATTAAAAAAATCCATACATGCTTCGTGCAAATTACATGTGAACAGTTAATGTACAATAGAAACATAAATATAATTCCTCCTGCTTCCAAGTTTTGATCACTGAGGATGAAAATCTAAAAATATATTGTGCCGTAATCTGGGTTTGACAGTTAAAGCGAAGATCATTCGCCATGACAAAAACACAGGGAGACAAAAGGAGGTTCGACTAAACATGCGATCATGAGATGCCATGCTTCAATCTATACGGAGGTGGAATTACCCTGGCGAGGCCGAAAGTCCGAAGAAAGGGTCATCAAAGATGGAGGAGAACCCAAACCCAGTGTGTACGCGGGGCACGAAGCCCCTCATGGGGTGGCTATAGCTGCTGGGTTGCATACGCTGCTGCATACGGTCCTGGCGCCGTCCCCCGGGCTGGTCACCACGGCGACGACGGTGTGGTCGCCACATACTGAAACATGGCCGCTTGGTGACAAGAGAGATAACTCTATCCTGACATCCTTTGTTGTAGTCCTGAGCTCCCAGAGTGAGGCTCATGTCTCCAGCAACCAATCAGCTTGGTCGCATAGTTCATTTAGTATCTAACTAGGTTCTGACTCAAACAAGGGGCGCTACATTAGAGTTCTTAGGATTAAATTTCAAAATCTTAATGAAACAAGAATGAATGTCATCAATAATTGTGCACTTACAAACATTGTTATCTTATAATAATACAAAGTACCATTCATACCTTGATCAAGTTCATTACATTTATATATTTTCAATCTTTCATTAATGTTTTTTTTCTTCATGACATTTAATTAAATTATAGACATTACAGAAATGATTCCAAACAAATTGCCAGAGCCCCTTGTTGAGTCAGAGAGAGCCACGTTTTGGCCGAGAAGCCATGCAAATCTGACAGCCCAGAAGGACGAATTCCTAGTCACACCTCGCTCTACATCGACACATTGTGTCACACATTGTACTCACAAACATTAACTGCACATTTACTTAACATGGCTCAAGTCCGTCGACATTATCATCTGTATCAATGCACACCATCTTTTCAAACGAAAACATTTCAAGCGTTCTAAAACAAATGGCTGATGCCATATTTACTTCCTTTAACTGTACTATCATCAGAAAAGTGAACAATCTTAACACTAAAGTGTCTATTATACCTTGAGCCCTTTTAGACATTACTCGCACCTTAAATTACATGAATGTCACATAAAAGAAGAGTCATTCCAAATAATTTCTGAAAGCTGCAGCACACACACACTGAATTGTTTTTGTTATTCTTTGGCTCTGGCATGCTTGTGGCACTGACAGAGAGACTGAAATGAATGCAAATGTCTTTAGTAAGCATTTAGCGAGGTTAGAAGCTTGTGCAGTGAAAGGTGCCGCGAAGAACGTATCAATGTATCCTTCCTTCATTTAGAAATGTGCCCAGCCTACAATGTTTACACAAGCAAGTCTAACTAGACTAGTATCTCAATCTCAGGTAGGGAGAACCTAACCAGACACTCTAGGGAGTTATCGCTAGATATACACCCCTGGTATATCACTAAAGTAGACACGAGGAGCTGTAATAATTGGGATGCTACCATCTCTCTAACAACCTCTCTACGGGGGCTTAGGGATGGAGTGGAAGCAAAATCTCCTGGTTTCGGGACTAACATCACGTAAGACAGTTTATACAGAATACATTACATCGAAACACATGTAATAACATCATGATAGTCAATGTCAACAATACAAATCTTGATGAACAAAATGAACTTAGATGCTCAGCTTTGACAGTACAACATTGCAAGATTACATGGTGATTCAGTATTGCAAAACAACGAACATGCCAAGAAAAGTCTCAGTACTACTACTTTCATGACAACTATATAAATGCCATGCCATGCATTATTCATGTACAGAAAAACGAACCAAACAAATCAAGCACAGCTGAAGTGCAGTTGGACCAATCACCAATAAGAACAGTATAACAACACAGAACCTTAGTAACAAATGGAGTAGTAAAATTAGTGTGTGGTGGATAAAACGTGTGACTGTCATATTTACTGTTGATGTTGAAGATAATATGCATCAAATACTGATGTAAAAATACAAAGAACTTGTTACATGTTAATGGATTTTCTCTCCCATTCTACTCAGAATCCTAATCATCATCATCATCATAACAATAATCATCATCTTTGAACATCAATAACATTCTCAGACAGATTCTGCTGATGAATCTTACAGACATATGTTAGAGTGGATATTACCGATTGGGTGCAGCTCTAGAAATGATTTAAAATGTATACTGTAGACCCACATATTCCCGATAGCAAGAGTGTACAATATGCATCACAATATATAAAATGTATATAGAAGACCCACATATTCCTGATAGCAAGAGTGTACAATATGCATCACAATATAAAAAATGTATACTGTAGACCCACATATTCCTGATAGCAAGAGAGTACAATATGCATCACAATATATAAAAGCCTGTATTGGAAGATCCAGTCATAAATCATATTCATGGACAGAAAAGACACAGAAAGTACAACCAGAGTATCCCCCTACATAGCAAGAGCAATACAGCATATACCCTACATCTGTACAAAAAAACATCCCAACAGTTAAAAGACTAAGAGACAGAATAACAAGATACAAGTACACTGAACATCGAAAGGAATCTGAGAAAAATATTAATACAAATATAAAGAAAAAATCAACTGGAAGAAATTAATTTTAGATAAATAAATGCAAAAATTCTACAGTAATAACATTAAAATAAAAACAAGATAGAAATAGAACTGTATCATTGATAATACAGTGCTTGAAAACTATCTTATTCAAAGAATTCTACAAATTCTATCAGAATCTATAAAAATAATAGATGTAGAAAGAATCCTTTTGAGAAGGATTGCTTAAAGAAAACAACGGAATCACAGACTTCTACACAGATTGTAGAAATGGACAAAAAGAAAGAAAAGAAAAAAAAACCCTGGAAAGGACCATTTTCTGAGTCCATGAAGAAACTACTCAACTGTAGAGAAGGCTAAAGCGAAGTACAGGCACTGTCTTCCCCGTCTACCTAGCCCTGCCTTAGACACTACAGCTTTACAGAAGCAGTTACACTACATCCAACCATGCAATCCTCTAGGGAAACTCCAATGAGTCGGAGTCATGAAAATGTAACGATAACAAACTGTGGATACACAAAACAGGCTGTAGAACAGGTTCACCCATCAAGGCAAAGTGTCCAAGTTTTAGATTTTAGAATTTTTAGATTGATCAGATTCAAGAACATATTTTACGCTGGTGAAGCAATGTTCAATGCGACGATGCTCTCTAAAGATGCCATCACACTATTGCTGGAATATTGCTCAAAGCTACATAAAACCCAACTCACTCCCTCTCTAAAGATGTTCCACATGTAATCTTGATAGCTTCGGGTTACAATTAAGGCAAGATACTTTATTTATGATAACTTCGTTAATATCTCATGATATGACATTTCCATGAAGATTCGCATACTATTCTGGAATCTGATATTGGACAGAATCTTGTGAACACTAGTGTTTTAGCCTGATTTGTTACATATCCACAGTCTGGGCTCAACAAGAGCCTGATACTCCCTGTCATTTGTTGTCTACAGCAGCATTCCAAGGGAGGTAACTGTACTTACCCAGACGATGCAAATGGATCAGAGTCGAAGAATGAGGAAGAAAATACACTAGAACCCCCTGGGAAGCCTGTAAAAGAATGTTCGAACATCGAGCCATTGAAGTCTCCATTGCTTGTACCTACAACAAAATACACCTATGTCAGTCAGCTGACCTTTGACCCATGCCACATTTAAATTTGTCCCCAATACCAGCAGCAATTAAAAAGCGGACACCTGATTCTTTCATAACACCATACTCATTCCATGAACAATGAAAGATTAACCATAGCAATATGAAAGAATCAGATGGTGTTCAGCTTCTGTGCAGTACATATATACTGTACTAAAGGTAATGAAAATTTGTACTTATTTTCTTCATTTTATGGATTATTCTCCAAAGGGTATGTTCTCCCAAAGAATACATGATTTTGGAATCTGGTGATTTTGGAACGATACCTCAAGATAAAAGGTGACTAAGTGCTGGAGCTGTTACAGGTGACAAGTGGCAATGTGGTACAACGGCCATGAGTGCCTCTGTGTACCTTGTGTGTAGGCGAGTCTGACAACCGGTACGTCCCAACCATGGAAGTCGGACATCCATGAACCACTTACCTTATTGTTTAGTCCAAGCATATGTTAATATATCAACGCAAATAGCAGGAAAATTATTGATGCAGCTGGAGTCAAATTTACCCAATCCTGCCACAGGATCTGAACCAAAAACCTGGGCAGATTCCATGTCCACATGACCAAAGAGGTGAACCAGGAAGAGGACATACATATGATGACATGTAGCTGGCCAAAGTAGATGATACTTGCAGCCATTGTGACTATCAAATCATCCTTTCAGACAAGTCCAACAACAAGCATGGGGTGCTGGGCACCTGTCTTATCCGGCTCTGTGATTACCGAAAGCGCTCACTATACTTACTACGGCCATCGTCGCGGGTACCAGAAGCTGAAACTAAGGTATTATTAGGCAAACATGTTGACAACATCCTCAAGTCTCGGGTACACTGCCATAGACACTGGTACGTCGCAGCCGAATAACACTTGAGACAATCAAATTACACTTGAGACAATCTCTGTATTATAACTTACGGTGCCTAACATTTACACCTACCTAAAGACAACAACAACGTTCATTACAATTGAGCATGATTTGTGTTAGCATCTCTACCTTTTGAAAGTAAGCATTTGAGTCCTGCATATTGGAAGTTTATAATTTTAAATGCTTTTCTTCAGAGGAGTCACCTAGACTTATTCAGAAATTCATATTCAGTTCCCGGTCTGCAGCAAATGACAGTAAAATTTCGAACTTGAGCTGAAAGTTTCCCAATTCATCAGAACTTGCAAAACTAAGAAATACTGCAATTTTGAGCATTATCACACTTTTTTTCAAATTTTCCATCCGAAAGCAACTTCGATAAATCTTTGGTTGGATTAACAACCAACAGCTTGAAATAATGGTAATAGCTTGAGAAACACATTCTTCAGAACGTGGTTCTTCAGGACCAACAGGCTGCGTTGTACGACACAACCTTAGAGCTACGACTGTCGTGAGTCTACGTTTAGGTATTTGAGTTAGATCACCATAGCACCAAAACCGCTTTGTACAACAGCTCCCACAATGTTTTCATACCACTGAATATGTGTGGCAACAGCCATGGAACATGTAAAATGTGCATACCAAAGAAGTTCCCGAATGGATCGTCTGTTCCGAAGAAGTCTCTGAAGACCTCCTCCGGGCTGCGGAGCGTGAAGTGGAAACCAGCGTGGCTGAAGTCATTGAAGTCGTCATTTGTGTATGAGCTATTTGACAACCCGTCCTTGCCGTACAAGTTATACACTTCCCTCTTCTTTTCTGTAAGAAATGAGAGTAACTGATGGTCAGTGCTTAGACCAGTGTGCAAAATAGTTTCCAAATTTTGCTAGCCAGTCGGGGTAGCTATGCCTGAAAGTTACTAGCCCACAAAATAATTTTCTAGCCCGAAATTTGAAACTAAGCAAAATATTACAATAGATGAGAATAAGATATTGTCTGCATGACACTAAGATGTAGTCATCAGTAAGCTGCTAATATGATGAACATTTTTATCATAATCTTGCATGATTTAAAAGTGTATTAAAACTTAACAAGTCGAAGAGAGTGATATATTCACAAAATGAACCCATGAAAACTCACTAGCCAGTCGAGCCAATGACTGTGGAGATTTACTGGCCCGACTGGATTTTTACCAGCCACAGGATAGCGGGCAAGTGGCTATTTTACACACTGTTACACCCAATCTCTAAGTACAATAACATGAACAGTTAGCTCGGTCGCACTATTCAGCAATGCATGAGACTGATGGCCATCATCCACCAGTCTGCTGGCCTGGCAGCCCAAGGTCACCATTACTGACCATGCTCATCTGATATCAAATTGACCTGACATGGCCCTTATTCTTAAATTAACATGGCCTTCTCTGACATAAGGTAAATGAATGCTCTCAGCACTCTTGTTTCAAAATGTGTGTGAGTGTTGGGGGGGTGGAGCACTTTCTAATGTGCCACTGGATGCCACTATTCATATGCCCCATTGGGTATCTACATACTGATGGTTACCCATTTTCTGCTTGGTGTCCTACCAGGTACCCACTTTCTGCTTGGTGTCCTTCCAGGTACCCACTTATTGTCAGATGTCCTAACACATCTACTTACTGTCTGACAAAACTTCATATGCCTCAGAGATTTCTTTGAATTTTTTCTCGGCTTCATCCTTCTTGTCTGGGTTCTTGTCTGGATGCCATTTGAGTGCTAGTTTCCTGTATCTGTAACACAACATGAAATGTCATTAACACATACCGTATATTACCGTAGATAGGCCAACCCCATAGATAAGCCGACCCCCAAACTTGACCCTTGAAGTCAGTGTCAAAATGGTATGTTTCGTACATAAGCCGCCCCCGCGATTAATCGCGGCAAACACAGACCACAGACAACTGGCAGTTACCAATAATTATAACTTTGGTCCAAATATCATACCTATTGTAGCTGGATGATCACATGTCAACAAACTGGCTTGCTTATTTTACCCCATTCAACAATCATGAACAGATTACTGCCTCGTTTTCCATGGACTGCTTATTTACAGTAACATCGGCAAAAATGTGTGAATCTAAATGGCTTGCATATTTTACCCCATTCCATGTGCTTACATAGAGTATACTACACGAGGTCTCATTACATACGAGTTATACGAAACGAGGTCAGATACCATAGGAAGGTCACGAGTTTCGTATAATTCGTATGTAATGAGACCGAGTGTGGTATTTTATTTATTACCCACGTCTTACATGCAGTAAATTTACAAAATAGCGCATTTTATATATTTTTATGGTTTCAAACCGAAACCAGTTTCATAAAGAGGTTGCGGAAGAGTTTTGTACTGTAGTACAATATTTGCATGACGTCACACTGTAATGAAGTCACTGCCTTGGTAACCGACGTCACGATGTATGTCAGTTGTCATCAGCTCGTACAGCCTTCCTACAGTAAACTACTCCGTAGCACCCGTTTCTTGGTTTGGAGTTGCTTCATTCGGCTAACATCACTGGTGGAAACATTGCGTTTATGTTTTTCGACGGACATAATGTCTCAGTTCGACTCACAATTAAACAGCGACACGGCAATATTCGCAATGTTTACATTCCCACAATGCATTTAAGTTGTAGAATGAATGAATTCACGTGTTTGTTATGAATGTTTGACGTTATATATACGTCAGAATGTGACCTAATTGAGAGGTCATCGTTAGAATCTCAGGTCAAGTTGTTACGACACAGGTCAACGTGATATGACACTCGTGTGACGTACGAGATTAGTATGCAACTACCCATACGTTGACCATATGGGTAATAAAACTTCCGCTTACCACGTTCATGAGGGTCCATATAAACTTAGTGTTGATTATAAATTATTTTACATTTATAGAGCAAAAACTGCAATTAAAATTACACAATGCTGGGATATATTTCTTTGGGTTAAATAATAGTACTGGAGAGGAAGGAGGAAGGAAATATGGAAATCAAAATGAAGAAGTATGTTGTAAGTGTATTTCTATGTTTTCTGAGTTTATTAAACTCATAGAACGGAATATTTGTCTTTGTTGTTTGTATCTGTTAATTTTTAATAAACATGTATTTGGACAAAGAGATAAAAAAAAAAAAACCCATGAAACTGAAAATAATCTTAATCTAGGCAGATATGAATTGATAAAAAGATTACTACACTTCATTTTTCATACCTTGTCCGATATCATGGCTCAAACCATATCTGATCTCGGCCTGACGGCCTCAGTCAGATATGGGTGTCTCGGTATGATGTCGGGCAAGATATGAAAAGTGAAGTGTAATAATCTCTACATACATAAGCTTGTATTTTAGTGCTAGCTAAGCGAGACACTGTGACACAAGCTAGAATCAGATCCAACCACTCCTTCTCTATCCATGTACTGTCAATGTGGTCCTAATTATCCAGACAATTGTGTCATCCCAATGTGGCAAAACCATATCCCGATGCCATTTGTCCCTGCCAATCACTGCTGCCCTATGTACATCTAAACCAGGGCCTAGATTTTCGAAGCTCTCTTAGCGCTTAGTCATAAGTTAATGTATGGAACTAACGACTATCTTAGCGTTAAGAGAGCTTCGAAAATCTAGGCCCTGCTGTTTAGATGACTATGACAACGATGGGGTACGTGGAACTACCCCAGAAAAAAAAGGAAGAAGTTTTCACAAAATATCAAACAAAAATCTATAGCACACTCAGTGACTGAATTGACAGAAAAACTGAACGGCTAGATGACAAAATAAAGGTACAAAGACTGAAATGCTGCAATGAAAAGCAACGAAGGCCACAATAAACATAAATAACCTGCTACCAAAGCAGAATGTATCCCATCATTAATTTCCCTTCACATTCTCAGGTTGGCACATCTGATGGATGAACTTGGCTATAAATAGCTCCCTCATCAGACGAGAATAAACGGGATAACAGGAGAAATAACTCATTGCTAGACTTGCTACACATTCTCCTCTACACATCAGATGGAGCCTATGCCTAAAACAGTTCTTCCTCAAACATTACATATTCGATTCTCATACAAAATAAGTTACTCAAAGGGTGAAGAACCAATGGTACCATGTTGCCGGATATGAGACATCCACAGAAAAGATCCTAATTAAGGAGCACCAGTCGACTGATGTAGCTACGGTTACTGCTGCATCGATCTAATACCATCACACTAACGGGAAAAGGAATCACGACTAGCACATCATTTCTTAATCTTAAACACCTTAAATCACAGTCTTTCAAACTCATTACTTCCAGTCAAAAGAAACTTCATTCAAGGTCCAAATTAATCCTATTAACGGACTAACATTATTAAATATCAGTAGGATCGGGTAAGAAATTAAAGGTCAAGTATAGCCAATTAATGACCAACTGATCCTGGACGTGGTCTCCCAGGGGGGATCAATCTGTGGCGGTGTAAACCCTAGCTGGGCTTCCTCCTCCAGCAGCATACGGAACTTATTAATAACTTCTGACACATGGTCCTCACTAGGAGCACTACTGGTAACCTACAGACTCACCTGTTGGGGGCAGCATGGGAGGGGGAGGGGTACGGGGACCAGGGAGAGTGGGATGTTGTGGGAAGGGAGAAGGGAGCTACACAGGCAGTAGTGGTGTAGTGGGATAGGGGATGTTTCTGTGTAAGAGGCATGTCTGGGTATGTGTTTCTTGCTTGTCAAGTGTCAACCTTGGATAATAATAATAATGTGTCCATTTATACAGCGCCAAACTCCACACTAGGTATGCTAATAGCGCTAACAATCAAGGCACAGCACATTATTACCATGGATAACCCAAGCTGCCTGTTAGGCGCTAGAAGGTTACAGTCACAGTACTTTTTCCACCGTGTACCTATGGGTGACAAGAGTCAATCTTGAACAAACTCACTTGACTAAGGTGAGACCAAATGTGCTTCGTTGTGGGGCAGGACTGAAGCAGCAGAAACTCTCAAGAGTCAAGCTGGGTAAAAGGTGTGTCAAGCTTAGCATAAAGGTGTGTCAAGCTTAGCATAAAGGTGTGTCAAGATAGGTAAAAAGGTGTGTAAAGCTAGGGGAAAAGGTGTGTCAAGCTAAGGGAAAAGGTGCGTCAAGCTAGGTAAAAAGGTGCGTCAAGCTAGGGGAAAAGGTGTGTCAAGATAGGTAAAAAGGTGCGTCAAGCTAGGGGAAAAGGTGTGTCAAGATAGGGGAAAAGGTGTGTCAAGCTAGGGGAAAAGGTGTGTCAAGCTAGGGGAAAAGGTGTGTCAAGCTAGGGGAAAAGGTGTGGTGTGTCAAGCTAGGGGAAAAGGTGTGTCAAGCTAGGGGAAAAGGTGCGTCAAGCTGGGGTTAGGGGTATGAGGGACTTCGGAGAGGGTCGTGTCAAGCTTTGTCAAGTTTCTTCCATAAGTAGGGGGCATAATCATCATATTCAGGTAGTGGATGTGTCCAGCTTTGGGGAGGGATGTATTTAGCTAGGATAAGCAGTATTAAGGTGTGTAACAGAATGTGTCTCAAGTATGTTAATGGCTGGTCTGTTCAAACTTCAAAACCCTCAACAAAAGAAGCACTTGACTGATTCTCTTCAGTAACCAATGTTAGACAAACCATCTTCCTGCAGATTAACTTATCAAGGTACACGAGAACTTTTCTCACACCAGCCTATGTGAGATCATTCCTCAATGAAGCTGAACCACCTTGCTGAGTTTATTCCCTCTAACTTCTAACTGAAAAAGGTCCTCCTATGAGAGCCATTAGGCCTGACTATAGCAGACAACGGGAAGCTGAGACTAGATGTTATGACTCAACCACTTGACGCGTGTACAAACAGCTCCAATGCCCGCGATGCCAGAGAGACATCTTCATCCACGATGTGGAAAGGTGTATTTTTAGTTGTGTCTACAGGGCAGTTCAGCACAAACAGGGGGAGGTGCACTATGCTTTGTTTCCGTACATTAAGGAGAGGATACGTTTCGGTCTTTAAGTAAAGCAATGATCCATAACTGAAGTATTTAGTTTTGTAACATAATCAGACTAGGTTGCTCCTAGTTCCCTTGCTGCTGTCTTAGTCATGAATAACGACCAATACTTTCCTACTTCTCAATTTCCTAAACAGTACACACAGCTCAACCGATTGCTGACATTTTGAAAAGAAAATTATTCTCCATATTTCATTATTTTGGGAATGAATCACACATAATGGATTTCCTCATCACGCAAACTCAATATTTACCACAGATGGAATTCCTAGGACTACAATGTATCAGGCCCGAGGGGCTCACCTTGTTATTGAAGATTATGGACTGATCTGCTAAAGATAGCAAAAACAGAATATTCATCCCCACACTGGGGCTGTTTGACATTCACTGATGATGCTGAATGTAAGATCTGAGGACTTCTTCTTCTCTTATCAGTGTGCTTTGTGTTGATTCACAGATGTGGAATTACATCGGTTAACATATTCTTGAAATATGAATTGTCAAGCAATCACTGCAAACACTGAGATCACATGATACCTGCCCCTTTGATGTTGTGTGCTGTCTTGCCAAAAATATATCGTCATGCATGATTGATTTCCGGAAAGTGTGATACAATATTGTGTTTTGTCCATTGTTGGTAATTGAGTTTTACTGTCTGGATCCAGAAATCGGATTTGCAGCTGAATAACGCATTTCATGCAGTTTATAATTCATTTCAAATAAATATCTTCCTATATGTGAGGTGTATGGATATCTGGGATCCAGATAAACAGGGTTCCACTGTATAACATGTATGACTTAATCCACTTGTCCAAGGCTTGTGTCAAGCAAAATTCTGTCTGGTCTAGAAGCTTAAGTGATAACAGATTATAACAATAAACTCTACAGAAAATGAACTGAAGCAAAATATGGGCAAGTAGTTGATTCCTCAACTTAGCATGCATAAATGATGATGATGATGATGATGATGATGATGATGATGATGATGATATTACTACTTACGATTTTTTTATATCGCTTTCAGTTGCACTGCGCGGAAGCCCAAGGACTTGGTAGTAGTCTGCCTTGCTTGTAGATGGCATCACTGGCTACTGCGTGGACACCTCACGCACGTTTACAATCAGCAAGTATCAAGTATCTGGAAACAAACAGCACAAATTAAACACAAGCAACCTTAACATATGCACAGTCAGGTTGAAGCTGCACTTCTCTGCTGTGTTACATGACTGTGTGCCAAGTATACAATCAGGTCTGTCACACCACTGCTCTCAATGTCTGCATAGTCTACTCAAGGCAAAAGTACTGTGAGTGAGTGAGTGAGTGAGTGAGTGAGTGAGTGAGTGAGTTTAGTTTTTTACGCTGCACTCAGCAATATTCCAGATTTATGGCAGTGGTCTGTAAATAATCGAGGCTGGACCAGACAATCCAGTGATCAACAGCATGAGCCATATCTACAAAATTGGGAACCAATGACATGTGTCAACCAAGTCAGCGAGCCTGACCACCCAATCCTGTTAGTCTCCTCTTTGGACAAGCATGGGTTACTGAAGGTTCATTCTAACCCGGACCTTCACGGGTGAGTGAGTGAGTGAGTGAGTGAGTGAGTGAGTGAGTGAGTGAGTGAGTGAGTGAGTGAGTGAGTGAGTGAGTGAGTGAGTGAGTGAGTGAGTGAGTGAGTGAGTGAGTGAGTGAGATCCCTGTAGGGAAACCTTCTCCAACCCTCAACCCCAAAGAAGTAATGAAAAAGTTCATCTCTAACATCTCATCTCTGACATGAACATATTTTTTAAGGAAAAAAATTAAGGCACCAAGAGACTCTCTTCACTTCCTAAAACTGGTAATCTAGACTTCAATGCTAAAGTGCAACAGTTTCCCGTACTTGTTGAGCACTAGATACAAATACCAATAGTTGAAAACCTCAAGGTCATCACATGCTAGCAAGTTTCCAGCACAGATTAATGTTGTTTGCAATAAACAAAGTCATTCTTTCCCACTTAACATGCATTGTAACTGCAGGCTCGCTCATGATCTTTCCAGAAAATTCCTGCTACCTTACATCAGGTTTGGAAGATCACCAATCTACTAAGAATAATACACTTTAGGAATTTAGTCAAAGAACAAATATTTTGTTTCCGTAGATACTTGTCAGGATACTACCTTCCTCACACAATATCAATAACATGTAAAATTATGGTGAGGTAATTTTTTTCCAATTGTAAATAGAAACACTACTCCCACATGCATTCTCTGAATAAGTAGTGGGAGGAATCGTGTACAAATATCACTGACAGAGTACACACAACAGAGAGAGCGAGTTGGGTTTTACGCTGCTTTTAGCAATATTCCAGCAATATCACGGCAGGGGACACCAGAAATGGGCTTCACACACTGTTCCCAAGTTGGGAATCGAACCCGTGCCTTCCGCGTGACGAATGAACACTCTAACCATTAGGCTATCCCACCGCCCTTCAACAGAGAGACATGACCACAACCACACTACACAACCAACAAAAGACCAGCTTCCATTACACCCTAGGATGCGTACTAACACACTCTACTTATAATCCCATTTCCTCTAGACATCAGGTCAAACACCATCCGGCAGTGTAACTAGGACTTCGGTCTTCCTGTTACCGATTGAAAACTCAATATAATCCACATTCTTTCTTACCCTTGTGTCCCTGTATTCATTCAATTTTACTCCTAAATTCTTCAAACTTAAAGACCAGCATTTTGAAATCAAAGTCAGACCAGACAATGATCAGAGAAGGTCTTGTTTGTTTACTGTTTCACGCTGCTGTCAGCACTATTCAGCAGAGATCTGTCAACACTCAAGTTTGGACCCAGCCAATTAGTGATTGACATAATGAACACCGGGCAATACCTTCAGAGTACAACTGATGTTACCATTCAAGTCATCTGACCTACTTTATATTAGGACACATCCATGGACAGAACTAGATTGCGAGGAACTGATTCTAACCTGGTAAAACGCAAAAGAAGATTACGCAACAGGAAGCTAAACAGAAGTTATATTAATCTCATTTTTTCCCAAAATGACAAATTCATCCTGATCATGTTTTTTCCATCACACCCTATACAATGCTTACAGATGCTATTCTAAAGATTTGGGCATTTATACTTTTTATGAAACAAAGTTCATAGACCCCTATCATCATGTTCATGCCTGTTTTGTTTTTATAAAAATGATTGAAGCTAATCTATTGTTATATGTCATATGTAATAATTCAAACTGATTTACAGATGGGCAGATGTAAATATTATAACAATTATTTGAATTCTGAGATGTTGTTGTCTCCTGTGAGACCAGCAAATCTGGGGCTCCTTTCATGAAGCAACGTTTACTAAGGTAAACCTTAACTCCCATTCTTTAACATTGCACTAAATTTACCTTAGTGACTTATGATCACCTTAGTGCTTTGTGAAAGGAGGCCCTGGGTTCAAAACTAAGAGCACCTGACATATGAAAAAGAAAACAATGATTAACATGTTCAAAATCATCAATTTTTTGGTGTAGTTTTGGCCATTGGACCTAATGTAATTATGTAAAAGGAAGAATCAAATCCTCTCTCTCTTAAGTGATCCTGCTATCGTTACAAATCACCACACTGAAACTTACATTAACACGACAAAACATGACGAAATGCGAATTGTTTAGTTTCCATTTGGGAATTTGTACTGACATTTGTTGCAGATGAGGGTGAGTGAGTTTGGTTTTACATCGCTGTTAGCAATATTCCAGCAATATCACAGGGACACCAGAAATGGACTTCACTCATTGTACCCATGTGGGAACGAACCCAGATCTTCGGCTTGGCGAGCAAACACTTTAACCACTAGGCTACCCCGCCGTTCCAGTTGAAGGCATGAGGCCGAGTACAGACCACTAAACAGGTGTTTATACATCACTGGAATATTTTACCATAACAAAACACATCAGTAAGCAAACTGTTTCCTATGTGCTCTCTGCTGAAACTACTGCAGCAACCAGTGAACTAGATTCATGCAACATCTGGTGTTACTGTCTGTCTGGGGAATATAAATCGTTATACAATACTCCATTCACACACTGCTGGCCATATTGTCGATATAAAACACAACACAACTCCATGTAAGTGATAAAGAGGCCATTTACCAACATTACCTGGTTTCCTCAAAACAGTTCATCCTTACTGTTGATAAAACAAAGCATTTCATTTTCAAATCAACAGAACAGCAGATAGGACTGTGTTCAGCCATGCACTATGTATTGCATACACTATGCATTTAAAAACTCTCTATTTGTTATGCATTGATAACTGTGGGTTCACCGAAGTGCTTTACATGGTCCAGGCTAAAGCAGGGCCCCAGATAAGGGCCGTATCGCCGTATGTACGGATATAAAATAAGCACGATATGGTAGGAAATAATTTAGAAAACATGGCAGATACGCACCACAGCAATGGTGCATGGTCTTAAAATCATTTACAGACGTATTTATCCGAAAACGTATTGTTTTATTGTTTATTGACCAGTTTACACAAGAGTAGCAATGTTGTGGTGCATACATGAAATGAAACACGAGATTACTGATTAAATTCCAGTTTTTCCAGTACTCCTACATTGAAAAAAATAAGGAGTACGTACTCCTGATGTTGAAAAAATATCTGGAGCCCTGCTACAGTCAGCATAAAAGCACTGCTACAATGTTGAAATCTACCCTGCAGTTAAAGTCCTAGCCCAAAAGGGACACTCAGTAGTCCGTCCTGATTATTACTGGTCTGGCACCAGCCAAGAACGCATACACGCACACACACACACAAATTTGCGGGCAACTGAGACAGGGTCTTTGGTGTGAGAAATGGATGTTTAGTTTTACCACTACTTCATATGTCCAATAGCAGGAGTTGGTGAGTTTAGTTTCACGCTGCACTCAGCAATACTTCCACCGATAATGGCTGCCCAATAGCAGGAGTAAGACTTCAAAGTAATCATATACACGCGATAAAGGCTGAGTCATATGTGTGTTCAAGAGCTAAACCATTACTGCATATGTGTACTCCACTTGAGCACGTTAAAACTAGGATTAAGTTGTCCTGCCAAACATTCAAAACATGTAACCTAGGATGACTAATAACAAGTTTTGTCCATACAAGCTTGGCTGAAAGTGTAAGATCTAGAAGTTGCTAGTCTCTGGGACCAAATATAACAAGCAAAGGTGGACAAAAACCATTTCCGAAATTCAGAGAGCAATAATGACACTGGACCTGGCATTGTTTGTGGGTCATTGGCTTACAATCTGTATGATGACACAATGCCATGTAGAAAGTGGTCAAATGTAACATATGGGAGGCATGTACACAGAGGACTGTGAAACCTTGTTAATCTGAAAAGTCTGTGTTAATCAGATTTCTATACTGGGGGTTGATATGTCCAACTGATCCTAGCTCAACAGGAAGATTCTGGATGGAAAGCAGTGTTTCTGGATTTACTAATTTCAGCGTTATGGTGTCTCTGTTAATCATGAAAGTTAAGACTGTCTTAGCGCTAAACAGTGCAGGTACGTAAGTACCTATACATGGTATATAACATTTACCCTCCATAAACTTTTTGTTATTGTGCAGACGACATATTTCTCTCGATAATGTCACGATACAACACTATGGTCAAGTACAACGCTTTCAAATGTGCCAGTTTGTATCTTCAATGAAACAATTTTTATGGCTCTTTGGCAAGTAACTAAAGGAAATGAAAGTCATGGCATATGTATATAGGTGAATTTATATTGGAAGTGTTCAAAATTAAAGACGTTTTTCGGAACCTCGCAGTTTGATCCTACAGTACTTGAGTCAAGAGATCCCATATATCTCAGTAAGGCTGCCTTAAGCTTCATGTTCAATTTAAAACCGGGCAAATGAAAGCTTACCTTATATTTGTTCCACGTCCAATAACAATGTCGATGTTGGTCAACTCACACAAACCAGTGTAATTCACAGCAAACATGAACAGGCAGACCTGTGTCTATCAACGTCAGTGAAAGCTTACTAATCCAGTGTTATGCTTCAACAGTTCTGTCCTACAAAGATCCTGTTTCCTCAGGAACTGAGTACAGTCAAATGTCACAGTGAACTACCCAACAAGACACTATCTAGAAGTTTCTCATGTAGTGTATCCCTGCAACACACCAGTACCACGCTCTGCTGATGGTTGATCTGTCACCATGGAGTATGCAGTATGTGTACTTGTTGTGGGACAGCCTGTATCAGGGTGCTACACACATTGTATACCACATACAGACCACGGCACAGCTGGAGGGATCAATACTTGCAGCCTCAACCACACCGTCTCATTACTTGCGATACAATTATACAGTTTTCAGAAATTTAACAGTGAGGCCTGGGGATGATTTGACTGTTTCAATGTTAACATGAACAAAACAAGCCCTTAAAAAATGTCCACAGTTTAGCAAATATCGACATCCAGGGGCACCTGCAGCTGTAGTATTTGAATAACGAGGAATGAATTAAAACTTTAAATTGAAACATTAGGGCTGTGACGAGGACCCTGTGTTGATTGCTGCTGTGGTATTTGAGTGAGTGAGTGAGTGAGTGAGTGAGTGAGTGAGTGAGTGAGTGAGTGAGTGAGAGTGAGTGAGTGAGTGAGTGAGTGAGTGAGTGAGTGAGTGAGTGAGTGAGGTTGGTTAGATATACACGACTTTACAGCAATCTTCCAGCAATATCACGACAGGGGACACCAGAAATGGACTTCACACATTGCACATGTGGGGAATTGAAACCGGGTCTTTGGTATAACGAGCGAACGCTTTAACCACTAAGCTACCCAACCGCCCCTGTGGTATTTGAACAACTGGCAAACCTTGATCGAGTTAAAATTTAAGGTCACAGCGGCAATGTTTTAGTCATATCGTTACCAGAATTTGAACATAAATTGGAAAGTTCTACAGTCTTAACATTCAGGCTGTGAGAAAGAAGCCTTGACATACCAACCTAATCTGAAACACTTTATGAATGCACAAAAGAAACTTAAATATGATCATGTTCACTTGTTTATATCTCCAAAATCATGGAGATATCAAACCAATTCTCACACAACTTACATACGGCTATCTCATATTCCCCCACAAGGCCCCATAATATCTACCTTCTAACATCTCATCTCATATAGGTCAACCTCATATCTAGCCCTCACATAACCTAGAAAATATGTCATGCCCCCTCCCTGTGGCAAACTCTCTCAGTGTTCAACAACACTGTAAACGCAGCAGTCAGCTTCATTTAACATCTTCCTATATTAAATGGAGATCAGGCTATGTCAAGTCGCAGTCCTAACATATTTGATTCAAGTCTTTCAAACATAACTCCTATTGTCTGCCAGCTCGTAAAATATAGAAGAAGGTCAAAACTAGGCAAGAGATCAAGTGGTCCTTGGCATTGATTGCCCTTCTGATACCAGTTGAGGATTTATAGGGTGTCTACTGCAAACACCTCGGCAGCAAATCTAGGTGACCCCAAGATTCCCCTAAACTTCAATACCTGACCCTGTATTCTAGTCTATAAGTTATGAGTATCTCAAACACAAAGAAACGATGTCAAGGGTCAACATGTACAAATCACAATATTTGTCCTTTAAATAGGTAAAATGATTTTACATTTTGTTTGTCGTTTAACACCACACTCAGCAATATTCCAGCTACATGACAGCAGTCTGTAAATAAGCAAGTCTGGACTAGACTATCCAGTGATTGACATCATGAGCATTATCTACTCAGCTGGGATACGATGACATGTGTCAGTGTAGTGAGTGGGCCTGACGACCCTGCCAAGCCTTTAACAAAACTCAAGGGTTACTGAAAATCAATTCTAACCCAGATCAATTTACTATTGATGATCATATATTCAACATAATGTCGTGAAAGGCAGTGGCTATCATTTCCGAGTCGCACGCGGACAACCAACAATTAACAAATGGGAAGGTACTACCACACTCAGCAATATGCCTGCTATGACACCCACCTGAAAGTAATCAGGTCTTGGCTGGACAAACCAGTGATCAATATCATGAGCAATGACCACATCACCAGGTCATGCCACTGACGAACACCATCTATCATTTTGTTATATGTTCACAGACATCAAAACAAATAAATAGTGAGAAAACATGGTTTGTTTGTTGTTTATGCCACACATAACAATATTCAAGCTATGTGAGAAAGGCCTGTATGGGGCCGACTCGTCCAGACAATCAATAGATAAACATTATGAGCAATGACCAGCACCAGGCCTACCAAACAAAACTTTCCCACTGTGCAGAAAAACGCAGATAAGCCGACATTAATCGTGGAAATAGCAACATAAACACATTACCTCACTACTGAAACAGTAAAAACGTCAACGAAAGACTATGACACTGCAACATTTTTGTATCAGCGAACTTTGACCTCTACTGTGCATGTGCATTAAGATCTGTGCTTCTTTCAAATTTCCGAGCAACCTTGAATCGCCTCGCGTAGTAAAAGTATTGAATATGTCGAAATAATTGCAGTCAATCATTTCATACGAATGGCAAGTAAACTAAACAAGTGTGCACACAAGTATGATGACGGTAAATGTCAAATAACACGACAGAAATACTTTAAAAAGGGAATGTAACTTTTGTCCAAGCTGCAAATGTTAACATGTGGTCGAGACTTCCTTTTCCATGTGCGCATGTGCAAAAACGAAGTTGCGGGCTCTTTGTTTTTTATCCAGTTTTAGCGATTTAAAGTTGGTGTTTTTACTGTTTCAGTAGCGAGGTATTATGTTTATGTTGCTATGCCACGATTAGTGTGGGCTTTTCTGCATTTTTCTGCACAGTGGGAAAGTTTTCTTTGGTAGGCCTGAGCACTTTGGTAGGCCTGAGCACTTCTTTGGTAGGCCTGAGCACTATTGGGTTATGATGACACACCATGGACAAAGTCGCTGTGCCAGACTACTGATCCATTAAAATATCTTTTACATCCAGGATAGGTGACCCGTGAAGATTGGGTTAGAATTGGTCTTTAGCACCCTGTGCTTGTCATAAGAAGTCAACTAACGGGGTCGGGTGGTGAGGCTCGCTCACTTGGTTGACATGTCATTGTATCCCGATTGTGTAGATCAATGCTCTTGATGTTGATCACTGGATTGTCTGGTCAAAACTTGATCATTTACAGACCGACGCCATATAGCTGGAATATTGCTGAGTGCCGTGTAAACCAACCAACCAACCAACCAAACCAGGATAAGTTGCTAGGGATACATTCTAACCTAAAATACACACAGGGTAATACATTCCTATGATGTTCTTACATTACTTACAGATAACTAAATAATTAACAAGAGAAAACAAGGTATTAATAAAGCATATATGATGTGCTTCTCCGTTTCCTTTCAGCGATGTTTATGTTACTGTCCAGCATGAATATAATTCTTTTAAGCATAACTGTTTCTCTTGCATGTTTAATGTTTATGCTTAATACTATCTTTCTCATTATTATCGTGAAAAGACAATATGGGCCCTGTAACCATAGTAACCAAACTGAGCCAAACAAAACAAACATGTTGTCATGGTTGTGAGCCATAATTTGAGTGTTTCCTGGTACTGCACTATCATGAACTTAATGAGACATTGATTAAATTCTATTTTCTGTTGCAGCTAGCAATATTACAACTACATACCACTAAACTTTGTCTCGAGAGTGTCTGGGACACTTAAACCTATGGCCGACAACATGGTCGAAGCCATTGTGGCAATTGGCAGCTTTATACACTAGTCGGTTGCCGGAGTCCAGTAAGATTCTGTTTGGTCTCATAACTCAGCCAATAATAATCCAGAGAATAACACTTTACTGAAATGTATGCTTAGAATCTATTAGGGATAATAATCTCAAAAGCTTTTGTCAAAGACTGTTAAAGTTATGAAATTCAAACTTTCACTGCAAGCCCAAGACCACTAAATAGCTAAAATGAAAACTACAAATCAATCTGGCCATATTTCTGGATTACATAACTTTACCAGTTCTCAATGCTGAGATTTTAGCCCAAGAATAGCTACAAACTGACAGCTAGTGACATACATTTTGCACTCGTCTTCCTGACATGTCTTGCCTATGTCTTTAGGAAAGCCATTCTAGTCAACAACCAGTGAAGATCCGGGTTAGACTTGATCTTCAGTAACCCATACTTGTCGCAAGAGGTGACTAACGGGATTGGGTGGTCAGACTCGCTGACTTGGTTGAGACATGTCATTGTATCCCAATTGTGTAGATTGATGTTCATGCTGTTGATCACAGGATTGTCTTACAGATTATTTACCCCCGACATATAGCTGGAATATTGCTGAGTGGAGCGTAAAGCTCAACAAATTCCCACATGAACGTATGTCTGTTTTATCAGACGGTTTGACAATGCAGGTATCTGAAAAACACTTAACTTCCCCTTTGCACTTCACTAAACTAATAACATGATTGTTGAAATGAAACAGAAATTCAACAGAACAACAGCATGAAAAGTGAGGTACGAGGTAGACGGTGAGAGTTACCTGCTCTTGGCTGCAGGGGGTCCGGTGGGGCCCCGTAGGGGTGGTCTCACAAGACAAAACGAGTTTTTTTGTTTTGTAAATATTTTATTGAAAAATATAGTTACAACTGTCGTAGGATTTGACATTTTAATGCTTATATGTACCCCAAAGAGGACCTCTTCTGAAAAAGAATCTAAATTTTTAAACAAATAACATAATTCATCAGGGGAGGAGGAGCCATGTCGAGAAAGTCATCACTTGTCATCAAAGTCAAACGTACGTTGCTGTTGCGAGATCAGGAAATTCATGGTTGTGGCCTGCCTTGTGGCAATGATAGTTCGAATGCTCTGCAAATGGGTTATCAGTGTGAGGAGCTCTTACTGCCAGTGGGCAGGCACGGCAGTAGTAGTTTAAGAACTAGATGACGGGTGGTTGCGTCTAATCTTGCTGTGAACACTGAAGCTTCTGTAGTAGATTTTAGTCCTCACATTGGTTTATATGAGCTAGAGAAAGCTAACCCCACAAAACAGAAAGACTCATTTAACTGGACTTTGTCTTCACAATGACTTGTTCATCCTGATCAGTAAATGGCAACAAACAGCACAAATTAAACACAAGCAACCTTAACATATGCACAGTCAGGTTGAAGCTGCACTTCTCTGCTGTGTTACATG